TCAGACGTGTGCTCTTCCGATCTCCCCAAAACCCCAAAACCCCATGAATCAAATTTGTTATCTGAATTGATAGAATTGAGATTAATTAATTCAAATAAGTTAATATGATAATTATATAAAGATATATATTGTTAAAGCTAATCCATATCAATCAAAAGCTAAAATTACTTTAGTGAGAGACAATTGAAAATTTCTTTTTTTCAAGAGACTTTTATTTCTAAGCATCTTACTATTGAAGAGCTTTCCATAGACTATCTTATTAACTATCTTCTCACAGTTCTCCACATTAAGCTAATACTTCGACTTCTTTGATATAAATTAAATTGATCTTTGGTATATCTCATCATCAGAGCAGAGATTCATTTCATTTCTAAGTACAATAACAGCTTTCTAATCTTGTGTAAATTAGTCAAGAGCTTGAATTTGATAGAAATCATTATCCAATCCATCCATAATCGACACCTTGAAGACTCTGTTTTCATCAAGATATACACAACAGTGCTTGTAAGCATATGAATCAAAGAAGTCACTTTACTCTGGGAATATGATGTCTCCACAGAACAGATAATTATCAAAATCTTGAAATCCTTTAAACTTAACTTGCCTTGAAAACAGATTATCTGCTGCTTTTAACTCAGTTTAGCTGGTAATGTTAAGCATCGAATCCTTGCTCACTTACTCTTATATAAATGAGCTGGCCAGATTAGCTAACTCCGTCAACTTGAAGGTTTGTTGCTTTTCGAAAGTGTTAGTCATTTAGAACTCAGAGTGTTTATCATCTTCAGTTACCTCACATATTTAGGAGAATTTAGATTTTAATCTTTCTCTTGGCTGAAATGTATCGCCATAGTTAAGGAGTGTTATAGATTTATGAGCATTTGCAGTAGGCACGATTGGCTGTTGATGTTTGTAAGAACTCTTTTCTAGCATTGATTATCTTATAATCTCTCTATACTTAGAATGAAAAGATTTCATAGAGATGCTAGTCTTTCCACTGGGGTTGGCATTATTATTTGAAATTATTCTTTGAAAAAAGCTTTTACTTTTGCTTTAACTACCTGGTGGGGACGGGTTCTTAGAATTAGCTTTGACTTAGCACTTAGGAGAATTTAGAGGGTTGCTAAAGTTCTTATATAATGAGTTTGCGGGTGAAAGCTCCTTTAGTTCTTCATTCTTGTAATCACACTAGAAGAGAGAGGACTCATTATTAAGACTGAGGAATGCATCTAGATCATTGACGAATTTTTGAGTCAAAAGTCCGCTATCCATCCACTTTATCTCTATATATGGAATTTTATCATCATGATTCACTTCAATAAATCCTAAAGAAAATCTGAGTTGGTGCAAGTATCTCTCTGTTGCTAAACCCATTAACTGAACCTACATCAGTTCAAAATAGTATACTTCTCTAATGACTAGAATAATAACTTTATTGCTGTTGAGATCTAAAAACTGCCAGATCTTGATTGGACAACTTATCTCATTCTATACCTCAGCATCAACTTGAAACCACAAATATTTATGCTAGCTGAACATTATTTTGGGGATTAAATCATTGTTTATGATCCTGATATTCATACATTCTTCGTGTATCATTAATATCTCGCTCACCTTTAAGGCAAGTGCTTTGAAATCCCATCCCAGTTTAGATTGAAAACTCTGAATGATTTTGAAATCTGCTTTTTTTATCATAGACATTTGATCATCAATAAACAAAGATCATTTTTCCTTCGTCACGAAAGTCTCATGCTTATAGCAATAGGGATTCCTATCAAATATTATCAACTATCTCCCTTCAATATGAAATTTTATAGCATCACTTTGGGCAGAGTATATAATAGCTTTAGCCAAATTAGACTTTACTGGAATGGATTTAAACTTATATTGAATGTATATTTTGACAATGTAAAACATGAGTGCTTTAGTCTGGTAAATGCCTATAATCGCTGTATCCTTGATATCATAGAATGACCAATTCTTATCGTTTGCTTTGTGATACTTTTTAAAGCATTGGAATTTGAATCACTCATATAGAGTCCAGTTAGGAGAAGTGCTTGCATCAATTTATTACGCAAGACGATTTTTAATGACGACTGATTTATCCATTGAAATTATAAGATTAAAATATCTCCAAATTTATAATAATAAATATTTTATTAATATTGATTTTTTTTCTCTCGATATAGATTCATCTCATGGGGTTTTGGGGTTTTGGGGTTTTGGGG